TTTATTTTTGTAAAAAAGAAGAAAAAAAATCAAACTTAAATGACATTAATTGGGAAGGTTATCTTTGGCGGTTTTCCTATTCTTCAAGTCACCATGCTTCATTAGATGTTATCTTTGCCTAGGGTGCAAAACTTGGGCACCTTTTCGTAGGGGGTCCTTTTCCTCCCCCAATTAATTCGAAAATGTTATATATGTTGTTAAAAGTTTTCCACATAACATTGAATTATGACAAGTGCCCATTCATTTCTTTGTCAGAAGCCTTTTTAGTTAATTTGATTGAAACAATTTTACTTTTAAGTTTTATGTATCAAATCTAAGTGTGTTATTATCCTATATATTCTTCACACAAGCTAGGCATAACTTCTCTTGTAGGCCAAGTCATAAAAATTAAAGTCACTAATAGTGTTTCCCCATTTTTTTCAAATCAAAAAACTCCTGTCATAAATATCCTGTTGATGCTAGTTTGTTAAGTTTTTATATATAATAAAAATCAAATATAAATTTTTAATAAATAAATCATTTTTATAATGTGCAAGCTTACCATTTAACGGTACATGGTTCCCAATTTCTTCATATTAAAGTGGAAACTAGAAAGCTTAGTTCACTATATAAAGTAAAGGAGAAATTGATCTAACAATAAAATCTTTAATGAAATATTTTTAAGTGCTTTTAATCTCTTATCTCTTTGAATTTTTTGCTTTTTATCTTTATTTATAAATTGAATTGTAATATTTTCTTTAAAAATTTAGTTAAAAATAGCACTGTACATAATATTTTATTTTATAAATCTAAAATTCAAAAAAAATATTTTCATAACACTTTATCAATTTAAAATTTTTATTTCTTTAATTTATTTCGTATAACAAATATTAATTATTATTGTTAAGAAAAATATAGTATTTTATTTTAGTTGATCATTAATAATGCCTTTCTATATAAGGAACAAAAGTTAGTGTGGTTGAAGTCGAAAAAGAAATGACGCTGCCAAAGCAATATAAATGGCCTATAGGAGTTAGCTGAAAGAAAAACGCGCCTAAGGCTAAAATTAAAAGCATAGCCATAAATTTATTCATTAAATCCAACGCCATGCAAGAAACTTCTAGCCTTTCACCAAACTTGAGGCCCAATAAATTTATTCATTAATTAATGCAGCAATCCCATTGTCTTTTTTAATATTTTCGAAATGGTATTTTTCTTTTAAAAATTTAAAATAAAATAAATTGTGTATGTGAAATAAAACGTTAAAAAAAGTCATATTTTAAAATATAACTTAAAAAAAAATTAAAAGCATGATTAAAATACATTTTATCTTTTAAATTTAAAATGAAGGCGCACTCTTATATTTCACAAATTACTCTTATAACCTTAAAGTCATAATTTTACATAAAATTAAATTAAAAAAGTAAGTTTTGGATCATGAGTTTTTTTTTTTTTTTTTTTTTTTTTTTTTTTTTAAGTAGAAGTCATGTTTTTGAAATACAACTCTCTTTTAACTCATTTTTGAAATCACGTTTCAGAAACAGTACTTAATTATTTTTTAATTCTTTAAATAATCATTTCAGGTCCTTTTATAAATATTCTACTTTGATAAATAAAAAAATTACTAGATTTATTGAAATCAAAATCAAAAAGGATCCCAACATACTACTAGTCTACTATAGAAAAGAGGTTATTATTATTATTATTGATGGACGTAAGCGACAAGTTCGTTGAATTAATTATGCATGTAATACACACATACACGTATACGCGTGAGGTTTGCAAACGTACTGATGTAAAAGTTACTATAAAAGATTATCTTTAAGTTGATATTTAATTTTAACAAAATTTAATATAAAATTATTAAATACTGTATATCAGTATTGTTTGAATTTTTCTTATATATATATTTACTTATGATAGGGTTATTTAATTTAAATTATTTTTCTAATAAATTTATTTTCAAAAAATTAACGAGTGTACGTTATAATAAATTGATTTACGTGTGCGTATGCATATATACAGCTATATGTAAAAATGTAAATTTTCTAATCAAATATGCTCGAGAAATTATTTTTGTATAATAAGATTATCTAACTTCTATAATTATGAGAGAGATCAAGAGAAGAGAAAAGTTTGTAATAAAAGTAAATGATGTGTGATTGAGGGAAAGAAAAATTAGTATAGAAAATTTTATATAATAATGTCATAGATTGAGATACCTCTTCTAAGTTTCTTTTGGTTGCAAAAGGAAAATTCTGAGGGTTGAATAAACCAATTCCTCATTAGCTAGCTGGAAGAGGCTCACTTTATTCCAAATTATAATAGTAATTTAATGAATAATGGACCAGAAAATGTACATGACATATTCCTAAAAAATGGCGGCTATATCTAATATCTTTAATTAAGAGATGAATGGTAGATTATAAAAACTAAGACAAGTTGACGTGAAATCACCAATAAAAGATATACTCACTTTGAAGAAAGGGAAAAATCAGAATGAACGTAATAAAAAGAAGAAGAAAAAATCTTCAATGGTTAAGTTTCAAATGATAAAGTTATTATTGGATACTAATCAACAATTAGTGCAAGATGTCCTCCTAGAATGTTAACTCGTATTATAGAATATTAATATTTTAATTTGTGTAATATAACAGTTAAATATTTGTTCTATATAATTAAAATTAATAATAAATTATATATAAATAAGTATTATGCTTAAATATTAAAATTATATTTACAAATATATAAATAAATATTTTTAAATATATAAAAAATAATTTTTTATTTATAATAAATAATTTATATAATATTATTTTTAATTTTTGGTGATTTATTTTAAATATTAAAATTTAATTTATAAATAATCACGATAAAAAAAAATTAATTAGATAAAATGAAAAAAAATTAAAAACTTTTTTGTCAAAAATATTTTTAAAAAAAATACTTTGACGTAAAATAAAAATAGAAATTTAATATATAAGATTGATGTGTGATTGAAATAATTGTAACACGATATTTAATATTATGTAAAAAAATTCTTTGGATGTATATCTAAAGCTAAATAGCGTGTATTGAGTAAATACTATTTTATTTCACCGGAACAGAGAAAATTAATATCATATATCTTAGTGACTTTGTCTAAAAAAACCGCCATATACCGTTTAATAATAAGAGTTGAAAGGAACGAGATAATAAAAATAAAGACATAAAGAAATTAATTATGTTAATTCAGTTAATTACAGAAATTCTATATGTTTAGTTTAAATGAAGAAAAATGATTTTTTTTTTCTAAAATATTGAATTGAAGGATTTTTTTTAAAAAATCTAAATTCGTTTTTTTCCCTTGTTTTTTTATTATTATTATTTTTATACTTCAACTATATATTTTTAACTAAAATAAATTGACCGATAAACGTAAAAAAATCACATTCCCCACTAATAATATTTTTTAAATAAATTATTGATATTTATAATAATTACTTTAAAAATCATACTTAAATTAATTTTTTAATTCACGTTATAAAATATGAACATCAATAATATATTAAAACTAAACCCATAAAAATACATTATTATCTATATTTTTATTTTATTTTCATAAATTCCTCTATGGAAATGTTTTTTTATAATCATTTTAACATTGTATCTAATTGTAAGAAAAGAAATAGGTAAGAAATAGAAGAGAAAAAAATAAGTGAATAAAAATATATGTAAAAAAATAAGATGAGAATGATGTTCGTTTGATTTGAGACAAATAAAAAAAAAATAGAAGATAAATAATATTATAAAGTTGTTTGGTTTGAATACATGAAAAAAAAAATTATAATTGAATAAAAATTACTATTTTACCTTTGAAAATTAACTAAATAGTATCTATTGGGTTATCATGATTATATTTTGTGTAATAAATTAAATTCAAATTTTCATTTGAATAAATCAAACTTATTTATTTCATTATAATTGAATACCATGCATGATATTTGATTACAACCAAATAAATTAGTCCTACAAAATTGATTTATTTGATTAAATTTAAATTTCATTCGAATAAACCAACTTCTAATGAATGAATAGAATACATTTGAACATACAAAATTATTGGATATGTATTAAAGTGAATGTCAACTACAACAGATTATTGCATACTTTGTAATCAAATGAAACTTAGTTGTAATTAATTACAAATATATTGTAATCAAATGAAATTTGTTATATTCAAATGTACTCAAACCCTTATTCAAATATAAAGTTAGACATTCAAAGGAAATGCAACCACAATCAATTACAAACATTAAGCATTTGAATACAAGAAGTATATATACATTCCATATCTGCATCATGCATTTTTAACCAATGATTATAATCTATTAAACAAATGCTTTAATCAATTATGATCTATTATTTTCGAATCAAAATTAGATCAAATACTTGAAACTCAATCTCATTAGTGCAAAAAAAAAAAAAAATCAAATAATCACAACAATGACAAGCAACAACAACTAAGTAAATAAAAACCAACAATAAGACAAATTTGAAATTAAAGAAAGCTTAAACAATGACATCAACATGCAAACATGGTATGACCAAAAGCTTACCTAATAGAATCCACGAGCTCGTTGGGGTAAAGTATGACTTGAGTGCGTATGATGAGAGATTTTTATTGTGTAAACTTTATTCGAAAGGAAAGAAAAGTCACGAAATAATAATGTTTCGCATCTTCTCTTCAATTTTCATGCTATTTAGAAATGTAGAACTTACGTCTGTAAATTTCTCACCTATCAAATATTAGCTTTTCCTAAGGTATTAACTTATTTGTCAACTCTTATTTCCCCTCCCACGTACTTATTTCCGCAACATTTTTATGTCCCAAACACAACGTAAATGCGTAATGAAAAGAAAAGAAAAAGTAAAAGAACTAATGAAACAGAGAACCTGTCTTTAAGTAAGAAAATCATTATCAGAAACACGGTTTAATATTTCCTTTTGCCTATAAATACACAACTATTTTATTAATATATGTTCACGTAACAAGAATTTGATTAGTATTTCTTTATTGTTACTTCCGGTAGATTATTAAGGGCGAATTACTGTAATAACTCTGGTTCTGACAAAAGAAGAATGATTCAGAACGTAGCGAATGCTCTGAGCAACAACTACGACAACATGAACAAGAACGAGTGCATAAGAGGAACCGTGATCTTAATGAAGAAAAATGTGCTCGACTTTAACGACTTAAGTGCTTCCTTGTTAGATCGTCTTCACGAGTTCGTGGGCAAACGCGTTTCTCTTCAACTCATAAGTGCTGTTCAACCAGACCCTGGTTATTATTTCTTCTTCTTCTTCTTCTTATTATTATTATTATTTTCCTCATACAATCATCTCTGTGTCTCTGCACTACTGCATATATCTCATGGTTCTTGCTTGCTTCGTGCTCCCTGTTTTAACATACCTCTTTTTCTCTTAATAATATTAGAAAGTTATCATATTTGTTTCTACTTAATTTTTTTCTTCATTTTTATATTTTTCATTATAATAAGATTTTTGGATGGGAATAACAAATGTTTGAAGGGAATGGCATGAAAGGAAAACTTGGGAAGCCTGCATATTTGGAAGACTGGATCACCACATTCACACCCTTGACCGCAGGCGAATCAGCATTCAGTGTTACATTTGATTGGGATGAGGATATAGGAACCCCAGGAGCATTTTTAATCAGAAATGATCATCACAGCGAGTTCTACCTAAAAACCTTGACACTTGAAAATGTTCCAGGCCACAGTGACATCCACTTTATCTGCAACTCTTGGGTATACCCTGCACATAAATATAAAACGGATCGCATTTTCTTCAGCAACAAGGTAAAACTATTAAATTTCATGAAAGCACTTTAAGCCATGCTAATCTATCTTTTGAACTGTATAGAGGGAATTACTGTGAAATTATTACATTCGTGGTCTAAGACCGTTATAGTCTTGATCAATCTTCACCTAACACATAATCAAATCTTGTTATCTCTTTCTTGTCGTAACTTCAAAAACTTGGTTGTGTTACATGGAAGTTGATCTGGTACTAATGTATTGCAATTGCATCCAGACATATCTTCCAAGTGAAACACCAGTGCCGCTTCTTAAGTATAGAGAAGAAGAACTAGAGAGTTTAAGAGGAGATGGAAAAGGGACCCTGCAAGAGTGGGATAGGGTCTATGATTATGCATACTACAATGATTTGGGTGATCCGGATGAAGGTCCAGAATATGCTCGTCCAGTTCTAGGAGGGTCCACTGAATATCCCTACCCTCGAAGGGGAAGAACTAGTAGACCACCTACAAAATCAGGTTAAGCTTGTTATGTGTTGCTTGGCTATTTATTCAAGTCCATTTTTGTTAAAAGCATTTTGGTGAAATGAATTTAGTTTTAGATTTCTGATTTGGTGCTGTTTCTTTGTTATGTTGTTATAATACCAGATGCTAATAGTGAAAGTAGATTGAATTTTGCCATGAGCTTGGACATCTATGTTCCAAGGGATGAGAGATTTGGTCACTTGAAATTGGCAGACTTTCTTGCTAATGCACTGAAATCCATAGTTCAAGTCATCAAACCTGAGCTGGAATCTCTATTTGATAGCACCCCTGATGAGTTTGATAGCTTTGAAGATGTATTTAAACTTTTTGAAGGTGGGATTAAGGTGCCACAAAGTATAGTTAAGAATATTAGGGATAAAATCCCTGCAGAGCTGTTCAAGGAAATTCTCCGAACTGATGGTGAAAGGTTCCTGAAGTTTCCCTTACCTCAAGTGATTGAAGGTATTTTCGCATAATTCTTATACCATATTCACATGGACATGGACATGCGTTTTGTAAATTATTCATGTATGATGAATTGATGATTACATTCTTATGTATTAATGATTTGGAGCAGAGGATAAGTCTGCATGGAGAACGGATGAAGAATTTGCAAGAGAAATGCTAGCCGGTGTAAACCCTGTTATAATTCGCTGCCTCCATGTAAGTCTAAGTGATTTTAGCCTTAATATTTTAGAATCAAATGCATTCAACTGAAAAATAGTATGTTTGTTATAATTATCAAGTTTTATTGTCCTAAACATAATTGATAATTGAATGTATTTTTTCCCTCTCAATTATCCAAACTAAATTGCAGGAATTCCCACCAGCAAGTAAGCTTGATTCCAAAGTCTATGGCGATCAAACCAGTACAATAAGGAAAAAGCACATTGAGAGCAACATGGATGGGCTTACCGTGAATGAGGCAAGTTTGATATGATATTATGTTTTGATAATAAATTTGTGTGAATTTGATGGTGTGATTCTTACTGTTGATTTTGTATTTGGTTAAATAGGCAATCAGACACAAGAAGTTGTTCATATTAGATCACCATGATTCACTAATACCATACTTGAGGAGGATAAACTCGACTTCTTCAAAAACCTATGCCAGCAGGACAATTCTTTTCTTGAAAAATGATGGGACTTTAAAGCCATTGGCCATTGAGTTGAGTTTGCCACATCCTGAAGGAGATCAACATGGTGTCATCAGTAAAGTTTACACTCATGCAGAAGAAGGTGTTGAAAATTCTATCTGGCAGTTAGCTAAAGCTTATGTAGCAGTAAATGATTCGGGTTATCATCAGCTTATTAGCCACTGGTATTACTTTACCAATCATGACCCAAGAGCAAAGACAACAAACTTGGTTAATCTTTCATTGAAAATAATTTATTGTATCTTTCGACTTGTCACAGGTTGCATACTCATGCAGTGATTGAGCCATTCGTCATATCAGCAAACAGACAACTTAGCGTGCTTCACCCTATTCATAAACTACTGCATCCACACTTTCGTGACACCATGAACATAAATGCACTAGCGCGACAAATCCTCATCAACGCAGGAGGCATTGTAGAGGCCACAGTTTTTCCATCCAAGTATTCCATGGAGATGTCATCTGTGCTTTATAAGAGCTGGGTTTTTCCTGAACAAGCATTACCTGAGGATCTTATCAAGAGGTAAACCACACATGCACCACACCATTGCTAGATGTTTTTGAGTCATGCCACGGGTATCTGTAACCCATTAGACCAGAGACTAATCTTGCTTGTATTACCATGACTGCTGCTGGCTCAAATAGATCCTTCTCACAACATGAGCGCAGGATGCTTAACTATTACATCAATTCATCAGATTAATTTGTTTTATTTACCATTGATAGATATTAATGATTTGTTCTAAATATATGGTTGAAAGCATGATAACTAACATATAGATAACATTAACTCATCATCCAATTTGATATTTATGAGTTGATACATATTTTCTTCTTTCAGAGGAATGGCTGTTAAAGATTCAGGTTCTCCACATGGCCTTCGACTTGTGATTGAGGATTACCCTTTCGCTGTTGACGGGCTAGAGATTTGGTTTGCTATAAAGAAATGGGTCCAGGACTATTGCTCCTTTTACTACAAGGAAGATGACACAATCAAGAAAGACAAGGAACTTCAATCTTGGTGGAAGGAGTTAAGAGAGGAGGGTCATGGTGACAAGAAACACGAGCCTTGGTGGCCAAAGATGCAAACTCGTGAAGATCTTATTGAAGTTTGCACCATCATTATATGGGTTGCTTCAGCTCTGCATGCATCAACCAACTTTGGACAATACCCTTATGCAGGTTTCCTCCCAAACCGTCCCACCATAAGCCGAAGGTTCATGCCCGAGGAAGGGACTTCAGAATATGATGAACTTGTGAGCAACCCTGAGAAGGCTTTTCTGAGAACAATCACAGCACAGTTGCAGACTCTTATAGGCATTTCACTCATTGAAATATTGTCTAGGCACTCTTCTGATGAGGTGTACCTTGGACAGAGAGACACTCCTAACTGGACATATGATGTGGAGCCATTGGAAGCGTTTGAGAAGTTTGGAAAAAAGCTGGCACAAATTGAGGAAAAGATTGTGACATTGAACAATGATGGGAAACACAAGAACCGAGTTGGACCAGTTAACATGCCATACACCTTGCTTTTTCCCAGCAGCAAAGCTGGACTAACTGGCATGGGAATTCCCAACAGTGTTGCAATTTGAAAGGGCTTGCTTGTTCCCTTTAATTGCTTTCTGAGTTCGGATTTAAGTGTGATGTGTATTTTTTTTTTTTTTTTTCCTGCCATTTGAGGTTTGTGAATTTCCATTCTTCTCTAGTGTGTATCAATTCATCTACATGTATGATAGTGTGAAAATAATTTGTTAGAGTGGAATGCAAAAATAAGTCATTGTTGAATTACCTACATTATAATTATGTTTGGTACAGATTATTTTTTTTCTTCTTAAAAATTACTTTAAAGTTTAAGTTAAAAATGAGAGCTTAAATTTAAAAGTATAATTTGTTTGGTAAATTTCATTTTTATTAGTTTTTAAGCTTTCTTTAAGCTAAAAATGTTTAATATAAGTTAATATTAGTTAACTAAATTTAAATATTAATTAAAAATTATAAATATTGAAATTTTTCTATATTATTGTTAAGTACAATTTTTTAGAAGATAAAATAATTTTAAATATAATTTAACTACGTCAATATATATTAAAAAATATTTAAATTATATCCTAAAAATCATGAAATAAATATATTTTTATAATTTAATTTAAAGAATTCAATTCTTTTTAAATTTAAAATATTAACTACGAATTAATATTTAAAAAAAAACTGAAGTATGAATTAAATCTAAAGAATGAAAATTGTAAATATTTTCAAATATAAAAAAATTATTTAACTACGTAATAATTTTATGTTATGAGATGGGTGCGTATAAAAGTCCTAAAATTAAAATTTTCATAAAATATTTTAATCAATAAAATAAATTTAAATGATATATTTTATTGTAATGTTAATTAAATAAATATAAGTATTGATTTTAAACTATAAAATATCTAAAAACTTCTGCAATATTATTTAATAATTTTTAGAGGGTAAAATAATTTATTTAAATATAATTTAATAAGGTCATGTAAATTAAAAGTATTTCGCTTAGCTTATACTTCTCAGAAGAAAAAAAAGGTAAGCTGAAAAAAATGGACTAAACACTGACTACGATGAAAAATTAGTAAGAGAAAAACTAAAAAAAACTCTTGTTTAAAGAGTGAGAACATAAGTTTATAATACGAAGATGGATGTAAAAATAATGTAATATAGTGAAATGTAAAATTAAGTCATTGTTGCGCAATAATAATTACTTTTAAATATTTAAAAAATTAATAAACAAAGTGCTGGTGTTTTTTAACCAAACGGGCGAATTTGGGCTAAAAATTGAACCACTTAATCCCATTTGGGCTAAAAATTGAACCACTTGATCCCATTTGGGCCGAATCAGCCTGCTCGATTTCGGGCCGAATCAGTCATCGATTTTTGACTTCCTCGATATGAGTCGAGTGATTTCGTACCATTGTATTACCAATACTTGTTTCCTGCCTAGCGCCAAATTTATTAAATAAACCGAAACTTCCACCGCTTTCAATCTCTCTTGCTCCTCTTTCACCGAAGAGAGCAAAAGCGAGGGAAAAACATGTCAGATTCACAGTCGAATTCAGAGGTTTTCAGCGTTCGAATTGTCTCCATCGACCATTACATGGCACCGCCAATCCCAGACGCCGATATCTGTTATAGTAGCTTCCATGGTACGACACCAACCCTAAGCGATTTCACTTTCCATGTAAAATTGAACTGCCGAAGAACAAACGACAACGATTTAGGGTTCATTCAGTGTTTCAAACTTTCAGTGTTCATCTCATACTGCACTAGTTTGCGTTTCATTGTTTAATTTGTTTTTTTTTTTTTTTTTACTAAGGTGGAAAGGTGAATGAGGTGCCTGTAATAAGAGTGTATGGTTCTACTCCCGCTGGCCAGAAGACTTGCTTGCACATTCATCGAGTAAGATCACGCACGAAATTTGTTTGTATTTTAAACCATTTTTAGTTAAGAAACAAGATGCAATAGCTAGTTACGGTTTTACCTGTTATTTCCCAATGAGTTCAAGTGCTAGCAATTTTGTTATCATAAATGCAACCAATTCAACTATTTAACATTTTTGTATTAAGCAAAGTTGTCACTGTTTCTTTCATATGGTACTATGGTTACATACACTTAAATTGTTTGTCCGTATTCTTTTTTGTAGGCTTTACCCTATTTATATGTGCCGTGTTCAGATATACCACTCCAACTAGACCAAGGTAATAGCAAGTCATATTGACTGGTCCTGCTATGTCTATATCAAGTGTTTGTTTGTATCTTTGTAGTTGTATTTGAATTTGTTTGATTTCCTTCGTCTAATATTCTGGTAAATAATTTACTTTACCTATATTTAACTGTTTTATTATTCTGTATACATATTTTATTGTTTTTCTTTTCTTTATTTTACATTGTAGGCCAATTTTAATCATCTGGATGATGCTTTTGATTTATCTAACTGTCTTCGGTGGTTGTGCTTCAAATAAATCTCACATTTTGGTTTAGTAACTTAATACGTGGAATAAAATTTTATTGATGTTGCTCAGGTGATGCATACACCTATAAGGTGGCTGCTTCTCTCGAGAGAGTCTTAAAGGTATCCTTGCATGAGTTAGAATGTGTTCTATACTCTATTTTAGGCTTTTTCGTGTGTTTATACTTCATAGTTATAGTTTCTTATATTAAAGATGTGACATCAATTTTGTTTGCAACTTCTACAGCTTAAAGGCAGTGCTGGTTCAACAAGACAACATGTACATGGATGCAGCTTTGTACGAGCAAGGAAATTTTATGGCTATCATTCATTTGAGGAGTTATTTGTAAAGATATACCTGTATCCGCTATCCAGATATTTTGTACATATTTTTTTTCCATCTCTATATATAAATTTGAATAGTTCTTGTATGAAAGTGTTGTTAGGGATTATTCTTCCATGAGAGCGTTTTTAGCCGATTTCTTCAACTAGAGTGTTTTTATGGAATTTTCTCAATCTCTTCTATATTAATTTATCTTTTTTATTTTTGATTTTATATTGAATTTCAAATTTTTTATCAATAATTAAAAATATTTTTTGTATTATAATTTAAATTATATATTATAAATCTAAAATATAATTTATATGTTAAAATATATTTATTTATTACAAACTTTAATTATAATATAATTTATATATTCAAAGAATTTATTTATATTGTAAAGTATAATTATATAAAATAAATATTTATTTTGTGCATTGCACAAACTAAAACACTAATTTGCAATATATTCCTACATGCATAGTTGCACAACATGCATATTTACCGCTTGTATGTGCAAGCTAGGATGATGGCATGCTTAATCATGGGATCCTTCTTACCCCAAAATAGAGTAAGCCTTGACTGGTGCTTAAGATATTATCCGCAAGATGTCTCCCGTGCAGCTACTCTTCTCTTGGTACAATTTCTGAACATTACCTATATTTGGCTAAGCTTATCGCATTGTTCATAATGTGCAAATTTTTGTTGATAATTGTAAAATTCTATTAAATTTAGTACATCTTAGTTTGATGCTTCACAGAATAAGCTTTCATCATGATTTTTATTTTTTCAGGCTGGAGCTGTTCTTGATAAAAGTTTACAGCCTTATGAATCACATATTCCCTTTATTCTTCAGTTTCTGGTATGTACTTTCGTATGTATTATTGTATGACATTTTTTCTGGCATTGTTCAATTGGTTTATTTCCATTTCCTATGGCTTCTTATGTGAACTGATGTATTGAATGTGTTTGTTCATCAATGTTCTCTCACTTGACAGCCTTATAACCTAAATGCAAAATTGTCTAGCTCATTTTTGCCTAGTTTTGTCTAATGTTTGTAGATTTATAAGCTTTGTTTTGTTGTATTAGGTTGATTATAACTTGTATGGCATGGGTCATTTGCACCTATCAAAGATGAAGTTCCGCCACCCTATACCTGACACTTGTGAGAAATTTAATATCGAAAGCCAGCAGCAGCATAGAAAGGTGTGTTAATGTTTTTAGCTTTCAAAGTTCCCCTATTTCCCTTGTTTAATTACCAAACTTTTATTTGTTTAGATGATATATGTCTCTTGTTTATGTTTGATATCATAATCTTTTGATTAGGCAGATACAGATGGTCATGCATGTTCAGAGTCAAGATTGTGGATGTCTTCCATGGTCCCATCTGAGTGGATGTGGTCTCTCCCAAACAAATTCAGTGCCTTGTCAAATGATGAGGCTCACTGTCCTAAACGCCAAAGCACCTGTGAGCTTGAAGGAGATACTTCTGTAGATGGTTTGTCTGGTTTCATAGCCATACTAACACAAACACATGTGCATGAACACATATATACTTAAATATTTAGTGTTGTCTTCTGCTACTGTTGTTTCCTTATTATGAAAATATATCTGTTGTGGCAGAGATTCTTAATCAGCAGTTTAAAATGTATTCATCTCTTTCACAAACATGCTCAGATGTCAACATGGTTCAGTCACTTGTACCAATATGGGAGGTAGCCTATCATGATTATTCTTTCTATAGCTCTATTTTGTCATGTTACATTGTCTGGATTTTATCTAAGTTAATTGCCTTATATTATTTCAGGAACAGCAGAAACGGACTGGAATTCAGGAGACTACCATGCCTTCTGATCCTTGCAAACCACTTCCACAAGATGTTATGAAACTTTTCTCTGTTGGTCTTGACTTCGAGAAAAAAATTATTGAATTGTGCTGTGAAGCTGAAACCTCTTTATTTTGTACTCCTTCTGGGAAGGAATTGAGGTTTGTATGCAGCTATTCTTACATGATGGAAAATTTATTAAATTTTGCACATGTGAAGCATAACAATCCTTGAATTGTTGCAGAGAAACAGACATAATAGGATCGGCATCTCCACCAGCTTCATTATGCAAAAATGCCTTGAATTGTTGCAGAGAAACAGACATAATTGGCTCATTATCACCACCAGCTTCATTATGCAAAAATGCCAAATTGCATGAGGAAGGGAATGACACAAGTCTTGAAATGTTGACCATGGATGAAATCCGATCATCTGAAATGATTGGAACGTTGGACATAAAGGCAGTAACTTTTTCTGTGATTTTTCTTCTATCTTTAGCAAGATATTTTCATAATTATGCTTACCTTGTTTTTTTAACAAAATTCAGTGGTTGGTAATTGTTGAGTAGTGTTTATTTCATAGGCTGTGTGTGTGTATTTTCTCTTTATTATGTATATACATTACCTACAAAATAACTAAAATACTTTTCCTCCTACCTTTTTCTGAAGATATATCTTTCTATGATCAGTTGCTCTGCATGTAGTCAGGATCCCATGAATGATCTAAACAGAAGGATTGTTTTATGTTAAATCTATGTTACATGCAAAACAACAAAAGTACTTTTCCTCCCACCCCTTTCTCAAAATATATCTTTCTGTAATCAGTTGTTCTGCATCTAGTCAGTATCCCATGAAATACCTGTTCAGAAGGGTTGCTTTATGTTGAATCCTCTATCTTCCTGTAAATGCTTGCATGGAATCACCTACCTTGAGTAATATTTTTTATTGTTGGTTCTCTAGATCCTAATTACTAAATTGTGTAATTTTTTTTACTATTTTTCTGGTGCTCATTCACTTGCTGCAATATACCTGAACATTAATCCCAATGATTTCATACACTGCTTAATCTCCTTAACAAGAGTTGATAAAAATTATTTAAATTTTTTTATGCAGGAAATATTATCCTTTGGATTTTACTTTTTACTAATGGATTCATTTTTTCCATATAGTTTTTAGTTTTTTAAAACTGTATATGGATATTTTACCATGAATTATTGAAAATTTCAGAAATCTGTTAAAGAAATAAGAAAATAATGTACTCGGGCACTTCTGGATTTGTTTCTTGTTTTTTTCTTAAAACCAATCCAGGAACAATATTTGTAGGACTAAATGGAGTCATTGGGAGTTAGTTTTTTAATGGCACCATTCAACATTTGGTTTTCTTTTAAACAATTTGGTCTATTAAATTTTTTTGTATTTCTGTATTTCCTCCTTTTTAGGCTGCTGATAAGGAAGCACAAAATCTTCTAAAGTGGCTTGCAACTTCTCAAGCTGCAGAGGATATAAACTCTGATGATGAACTTGTTTATGAAACAATCTTGACTCCCTTGTTACCTGCTGCAACAATTGATAAGGTGCTGGAAGAAGCTAATATGGCTTATGAGAATGAGTCCCAAAAGGAGTGTCAGGATATTCTTGATTCAATTGATGATATGCATGTGTTGGAGTTACCAGTGGAAAAGCGTTCTCATTCCTTTGATCACAATGGTTCTATTGGAGCTTCATCAAACAGTATGCTACCCCAAGTTGATGGTTCTAATGATGATGAGTTCTCAAGTCCACGCGGTGGTTTCTCTGGAACCTCTTCTCTAGTTGAGATAAATAGTGAATACAAAAGGGCTTCTGAGTACCACGTACAGCACAATACTGACACAAGTACAGTTAGTAAAGATAAAAGGAATAAACAATGGGGGTCTTTGCCTTTTTCCATGATGGATAAGGTTAATGATGTTGGAGAGCATGCTACTTTACTTGAGACTCATCCATTTGAAAGTGAGACCGGAGATTCTGCTCACTCAGGTTACTTAAACACTAATGAGGTTAGAAATAGTGCTTGTATTATAAGGAACAACGGCAAAGATACTTCAGATTCAAACTACTCTTTGCGGGAATTGATGAGGCGAAAGCGATCCTATCGTGTTGAACAAGCTGAATTTGAGTCTGGAACTACTAAAAAGCTTCTTTTGGACAAGCATAGGGAGCCAAATACATGCCTTTGGCAAAACCAACTGGATTTAAAAACAGTGCAAACTGATGAAGAAGAAAAGGAACACCAGAAGAGTTGTGGCCGCAAAGTTAGCAATCATGTTAATTTAGTGCATGGGAAACTGCCTCTTCCAGCTGTCAATGATAGTTTTTTACAAGCTACGATGCCAAAAGGCGTATGTTTTAGTCCGCATGAAATGGAAGGTGTAGAAGCAAGTAAAGTGTTGAGGAACTGTTCAAAGGGAGGGTCTTCTTTAATGCATGGTGGACCTGAAAATTTTCATTTTATTGATTCCATAGACCAATCTGTGGCTTGCATGGGTGAAAACCATAAAGTTGGCACAGCTTTTACAAAACCTATGGCTTCTGATGCCTGTACCCAAAATCATTTGTTAGACACTCGGTTAAGAACATCTGCTGTTCATACAGTCAGAGCTCCTGAGAGAAGTTTACAAACCAATTCTTCTGCTTCAAGTAGTGTGCAGAGCTCATTCATTGATAAAAATTCTGGCAAATATAATTGCATGGGTCAAAGTTCTGATGGAAACATATCTTTTGTGCAACATGATCAGATGATGTTTTATGAGAATTCCGTGGACAGAAGTGCTGCAAATGATATGCAAGTATTGTTAAGTGAAAAAGTGGATAATCAAAAGATGGATGAAAATTTGTTGCATGACACTATTGGTTCTGAACCCACCGACCTAAAGGGTAGTCACATGAAATTAGCTGAAGGCAAGAACCCCCTGGATGATAAGAATCTTGAGAGTACTTTGTCCTTGCCAACCACCTCTAATACCAATTTACATTTGGATGAGGACAGCTGTGATGAAATGCCAGGTTTTAACTTCACCTTTTTAACCCAATTTCCCTTTTTTTTTTCCTTTTTAAAATTTGTTTTTCCAAAGGAATTGGTGAATCTGTGATTCAGTCCAATGGCATGCCTTGTTAAACAATAAAGCCTCTCTCATGCTAGTTATGTATTAAATATTAATAGCCATTCAGCCTTTTTTTATATACATTTTTTATGACTCATAACTACCATTCTCTGGAATAACCAGTCTACAGATCTTACAAAGGAAACTAAGATGGTGCTTTTATGTTGCTTTATCTATCTGGAGGTCCAACCATTTAATAAAAGTTTTTAACGGATAGCTTTCATATATTGACTTCCCACTCTTCATCGTTTTTTTGGATTCAATGCTGATTTATTTGACATTATTACGTTGTCAATAATTTGATTTAACTTTTGAAATAAGCTTTGATAGAAAATTATTTCTTTTCATTGCTGGATGGCTTCTCTTTTTGCAATTGTTTTGGCTGGAAGACACATAGGGCTGGCATGAGAGAGGTTATGTGGAAATACTGTTATGATTCTTAATATCTAATCTAATAGAAACTCATGATGAGGCTAGCAAAATTTTACAAATTGCTATCATTTTATTCATGGTCTCCCTCCTTGTGGTACTGGAAACTTGCATTTTTTAAATGTTCATCTTAATCATATACACATTTAGAGGCACAGTATAATCCTGATGAATCTTGGTGACTGGATTGATCCAGGAAGTTATACATTTTATGATATTTTGTCACTCAATGTTAGTATGTTATGTAGCTGATACCCACCTAGTGGGATGAGGCTTGGTGGTGGTTATTGATTTTAGTTTGTTAATTGTTATGCTTCTAAGTTCTCTGGTCTGATCATACTGCATGTTTAATGAAACTTCACACCATATTGTGTTTATTTCTTGAAGGGAATGCTCTGGATGTCTTTCCTCCCATTTCTGCGAGGGATTCTCTGAAAGAGATGGAAACTTGCAACAAGTATGGTCCAATTAAAACACTTACATCTAATGGGATGAAGGGTGTCATCACTCACTATCAAAATGATGGCTCTCACCTCTACCTATTAACACCTAATATTTTGCCTCCTCCTGCAGATACTGTGCATAGATGGCTATGTTGTGATGAAAGAGGTATCTACTAAACCGTGATCAGTGATTTATTTTTGCCCATATTACTTACTCTAGGAAATTCACTAAAAAACCCAGCCATAATTGGTGTACAAGTTACTTGTTAGCAAATCATTTGGCAAAATGTTGGTTTTTCTTCAGCCAGTTGATTATTGTTAGTAAGAACAGATAGACCTAAAGGTGAAGAATGGGGTTCATGTCTTGTTCAGGAAGACACTGCTCTGAATTTTATAGTTAAATAAGTTTGTTTTACAAGCTTTTGCAGCTTTAGAAAATAAAATAATAATGCATAAAGCTAAAGATACAAAACTAAAACATACAAATAAGACTAACAAAAACATTCTTGTACATCTAACAATTATGACAAGTTAATACCTGGATCTGGTCATACTAATCTTATTCATTAAGAAATAGATGCAGAGGACAAGGGTGTACCTAAATGTGCTACTGAGACTGCACCTCTTCTTATGACTAAGCTGTATCAAGATGCTGATACAGAAAAGAAGCCTCCATGCACTGGAAAAGGACAAACAGAAAGAGTGAAAACATGCCTAGATGACTCGCAAGATATTTCTCAGATATCAGGTCCCGATGGAAAATCAAGTTTTACCCCTCTGAGTCAAATTGGATTTCGAGACCCTGCAAGTGTTGGCTGTGGACAGCAACTTACATTACTTAGTATAGAGGTATTGAAAATTGTATTGTCCTTTTCTTTTCCCAGCAAATTTGTGCATGACTTCTAAAGTTCTTTGATGTCCCTCAAATTTTCTTGTTGGATTCTGATTGGAAGACCTTAATTTAGGTATTTGGTGTTTAAAATAACTTTTTCCTATCATTTTCTAAGAACCAGATCCTTGATATTGGTGACAATTACACTAGTGAGTACCGACACAGGTGTCAGGGTATCCAACACCCCGTTGACACCAACACACAGCCGGCACGTCTTGGACACGTGTCAGACACATTTTTGCTGTTTCTTTTGTTTCATTTTTGTTTTTTTGGCTTGGACACAGGTCAGACACACCTATATGGTTGGACACAGTTACCTTTTCCTTTTATCAATCTTTTTTAAATTAAAAATAGATTTGTATTAAATAAATTTTCTATTTTGCTTTTGTAAGTTTTTTTTTCTCTCTTTTTTTTTGCGAGTCTTTTTAAAGATCTTAGCAAGTTGTTAGTTATTTTTATTTATTTTATTTTTTATGTAAACTGACAGTTCTAGTATTTTGGAATTTTTATGTTTTAGACTTTAGCTATGTCAAGGTGTCCATGCCGGTTTCGTGTTAGTTTGATTCACACATTCATAGTAACACACACAAGCATCAAACCATCAATCCCCATTATTGGTCATGCTTAAAAGTAACAATGTTACTTAATAACTCAATCAAACTTCATTTTGATTTTATTTTATTTTATTGCTAGTTATTTTTATTGTTAGATGCTTTATGGTGATCATGTTGCTTCTGTTATCAAATCAACTTGCTATAGGTATAGTTCTCCACTTGCAAAAGCTTATTCATTATTTTTTGTTTATATTATATTAAAAACCCAAGGGAATACTTGTAATTAGGGATCAGTATCTTTTTATAACAGAAACTAGGGAATCTATTTGTCTTTTATTGCTTGATATTAAAAAGTAAAATTCTTTTTGGAATTTATTATCTTTTAATTATATTTTAAATTTTAAATAAGCTTTTTTTGTTAGTGTCTTTTTTAAATGAACATCTTTGTAGTGTTGTTTCTCACATAGGTCTAACTTGACTGCAACTGATAGATTCTTGCAGAATCTAGAGGAGACCTTTTACCTGATCCTCAATTTGATGGCATCAACATTGTAGCTCTTGGTTTTCAGAATGACGGTGATTCTATTGTTGAAGTTCTTGTTCTTTTACATAATAAATCTGGTCCTTGTCAGAGGTATGATGATGTCTTTTTGTATACTCATTCTCTTTCTTGATTGGTTTTCTATTGATAAATTCTGTACATCAGTATACACTATCTGTTACAGGATGATCATGTTTAAAAAGATGCTGTTCTTATTCTTCATTGGTTTGCAGAAGTTTCGATGGTCTATCTGGCTGTAAAATATTGGTCTTTACTGATGAGAAGCTCTTGTTAAAAGAATTTATAAAGATTGTGTCTTCATCTGACCCAGATATTTTGATGGGTTGGGATATTCAAGGGAGTTCTCTTGGCTATCTAGCAGAAAGGGCGTCACATCTTGGTTTGGGATTACTTAATAATCTGTCTCGCACTCCATCTGAGTCTTTGATTGCTTCTGAAGATACCAAATCTTCAGAAAAAGATATCTTGGAACTGGACATCCATGATACCCCTAATCTTGATTGTTGTGTGCCAGAAAATTCAATAATTGAGGATGAATGGGGGCGGACACATGCTAGTGGAGTTCATGTAGGTGGCAGAATTGTCCTCAACGTATGGCGATTGATACGTGGAGAAGTTAAGTTGAATTTATATTCAGTTGAAGCTGTTGCTGAAGCTGTATTGAGGCAGAAAATTCCTTCTTTTCACCAGAAGGTGCTGACAAAATGGTTTTCAAGTGGTCCTGGACGTGCAAGATATCGATGTATCAAATATGTTACAGAGAGAGTAAAGCTGAACCTTGAGATATTAAACCAACTTGATATGGTAAGGTAGTATCATAGGTTTATTGCCAAAATAAGGATTTTCTTAGCGATATTTTTCTTCTGCAGGTGAATCGGACATCGGAACTTGCTCGTGTCTTTGGCATAGAGTTTTTTTCTGTTCTCTCTAGAGGATCACAATACCGTGTTGAATCCATGTTTCTGAGGTTGGCCCATACACAAAACTATCTTGCCATCTCACCTGGAAAGCAACAGGTTCTCTCAGTGCTCCCATTTCCCCTTTTTTACAGTGGATAACTGATTATGATGTTGAATGGTTAGTAATGTTACCATAAACCAAGCATAATAAGATTATATGAAAGTGCTGTTGTTCGGTGCATGAGGCTCTCAACTGGTGTCCATTGTTTACCCACCCTCCTAACATGATTTCATTTGTGATATACACTTTTGCAGTATCTGGTTATTTAATACTTTATACCAGTTTTTATTTATTTTACTTTTTTTAGATGTTCTTATAATCAATAAACCATATTGGATAAACTGGTTCTCTTTAACACAAGGAAGAAATAGATCTCAACTAAGAAAATATTTTGAAAACAATGGTGCTTGACTCAGATGCGCAATAGAAGTAGTACACTTTGTGCCAGAAGATAAAAGTTTTAATTATTAGTTGGAACTTGGAACAGTTACTCACCAACCTCTCCTCTGCTGCCACAGCCAACTCTTCCATAAATTCTCTCTCAAGCTTTTCCTTCCCCTCCCCCACCCAAACAAAAAGGCAGTCATAGATGAGGGGGTGGGTTAAGGTTCTTTGAATTTATAGTTCAGAGCATACCATAGGTACTACTAATATCTGATGCAATAGGCCAACCATATTTGAATCTGTCATTTTCTCACCTTATTTTTCTAATTTTCTTCTAGATGTGTTATTAAGTTATGAGAAAGGAGATTGAATGTGATAAATGAATAATTTTAATAATAAAATGTTGTTGTGTGGGTTCTGTTCAGCGCATCACCAGGTTTCTCACCCAATTATTTTGTAACATGTACAATAAGTTTATATCACTGTCAACATTTTTTTTTCTCTTATTCACCCATTGAAACAGGTTATATGGATGGGTGACCTTCTTGGAAGTTTCCCAGAAATTGTGCAAGTAAGGATAAAACACGCTAAAAAGTGAAATGTCGTGAAATAGGATCTTTAAGAGGCCAATATGAGGGCTGTTACATTAATAAATATTAAAATTAAAAAAATATATAATTTTTGACAAAATTTTCTGACAGAAAATTCTGTCAAAAATCTCTAACAAAAAATTCTATCAGAAATCTCCGACAGAAAATTCCATCAGAAATTTCCGACGGATTAAATTATTTTCGACGAATTTTTTTTTTCTGATGCCACTTTTTTCGACAGATTTAAATCCGTCAAAAATCCATTGGAAAAAAGAAAACCCGTAAAAAAATTATCCTTTTTTGTCGAAAATTAGCATTTTTCTTGTATTGTTTAGTTTTGATTTGTTCTAGTGAGTCATTTTAGTCTTAGTGGTAAATTTTAGTTAATTCCCGTAATTTTTTTCTATTTTGACATTGTTTCTTGTGCAGGCCATTTCTAGAGTTCTCGACATTGGATTTGGACATTCTTGGTGTCCCTATAAAGATAAGAGAGAGTTTTACAACTTCTTTATAAGAAGCAAAGGCCAATTTGGATGTTAAGTGACCCAAAAGTGCATTGCAAAGTTGCAGCCGTACATAGTATTTTCTTTTTCTTTTTAGATTGTAATGTTAAGATTTGTTTAGTGATGTAATTAGTTGATTTACTGGGCTAGGCCTTGTAAATATTCTGATTAGGCCCACTATATTTCTCTATTAATAGGTGTTGTGAGATCTGTTGTGTATACTTTACACTTCAATTTTTAGATTTATGATTTCTTGTTCTAGAAGCTTCTTTAAATTTTCTCTCGACTCTCTTCTTTTCTCTATCACGAATTTCTCCCTGTTTTGGTTGGGACTCTTTATCTTCTCTTTGAGCATATTTGTGCATGGACAATGATGGAGATGTGCGGCTAAGTTCTCTTAATCGTTTCAAGTTTTCATTTATGCAGTAAAATTCTCTCAAATTCGAATTCCTCTCTTCTCTTCTTTTCTGTTCTTCAATTAATTTTGAATTAAATTCATGATTATGAATTTCATTTTTGATTAATTGAAGAACATAATTAATTTGAATTAATTTTAGAACACAGAATTGGATTCAATTTGGATTGGAACAATACGAAATAGATTTGCGTTCGTAGGACTTTCATAGAGCACGATTGCAATCTTCGTTCTTTAATTCAAATTAAATATTAAATATTAGAATTCGGATTATTTTTTTTACTACAATAATTAGAACTCGAATCGATGTTTTATCGTTAGATTTAAAATTCATGAATTTGTAGAGTTTAAATTTCAATTTATAATTATTGCACATAAAGTTTTCGATAAAAATTCCTCTCTAATTCTTGATAAAAATTCAAGTTCCTGTGAGTCGTGTCCTCTGTGGAGATGACTTAGGTTGTTCCCTATACTCCAAATAATTTTCTAAGGGGAAACCAAGTTTTATTTGATAGCGTTAGACATCGTTATCAAAGACTACCATGGTCAGCTATAACACTTCAACATGATCCTAATAGACATCTCCCTAGTGAGGTGGTTAGGGGGATCATTGTTGTAGAGTGGTCCTTACATTATTTGATGGGGTAATTTAATTGTTCCATTACTCTTAGGCCATTTTGTATAATTGATGATGATGAGGAGACTGGTACAACTTACATATAGAGTTAGGAGCATACATCTCACGAGTTTTAGTTGATGAATATTTTTGTTTGTGATTGATGGAATGATGGAACATGGTGTATTAAACTGTTATTAATATTATACGAGAGAATTGATGAAGGTGTATAAGATATAATTGTTGTTTGATTGGTGTGTGTGTGTGTGTGTCTATCCTTATGTTTTGTATATGCTATGATAGATGAGATGTATTCTCACTCCCTGTGTTTGTATGTCTATGCTTGGCTTGATCACCATTTGCAAGAATAAAACAAGTACAAGATGATAGGTTGGAGAAAGGAGAACAAAAAATAAAGGTCTTGCTCTGATAGTGTGACATTGGGCTGAGTTTTAGGATTAATGAATGTTTTATGTTGAATTTTATATTAGGTTGTTTTGTTGTCAGAACTTAATTGATTTAAGAAGATGCTTTTATTTCTTTTAAAATGATACTTTATATTTTTATTGAAGGATGATGTGAACCATTTTACGAGTTTATGAGAAATATTATTATAATGTTTTATTTTATGAAATTTTTATATTTTATTTGTTAAATCTTTGAGGAAGAAGGGTGTCACATCTGTGGTGATCATGCCAAGCGTGAGAGTCTGCAGATGCTTGCAACATCATTGACACCAAGCATGAGCCGGATCACGTAGACCGTGGAAGCTCCAAGGGCTCCTTGTTATAGATGGAATATTTATTGTTGATCATATGTATGTTTACACTAAGTTGTTATATATGTGTGGTTACCTAGGCATTTCCTACACTGGTAGTTAGAGTGAAATGTTTCTCACTCTCCTATTCTTTTGTGTATTATTTTGGTATATTTTATGCAGGTGAATTTAATTAATATTTATTGTTGATCATATGTATGTTTACACTAAGTTGTTATATATGTGTGGTTACCTAGGCATTTCCTACACTGGTAGTTAGAGTGAAATGTTTCTCACTCTCCTATTCTTTTGTGTATTATTTTGGTATATTTTATGCAGGTGAATTTAATTAATATTTATTGTTGATCATATGTATGTTTACACTAAGTTGTTATATATGTGTGGTTACCTAGGCATTTCCTACACTGGTAGTTAGAGTGAAATGTTTCTCACTCTCCTATTCTTTTGTGTATTATTTTGGTATATTTTATGCAGGTGAATTTAATTAATATTTATTGTTGATCATATGTATGTTTACACTAAGTTGTTATATATGTGTGGTTACCTAGGCATTTCCTACACTGGTAGTTAGAGTGAAATGTTTCTCACTCTCCTATTCTTTTGTGTATTATTTTGGTATATTTTATGCAGGTGAATTTAATTAATATTTATTGTTGATCATATGTATGTTTACACTAAGTTGTTATATATGTGTGGTTACCTAGGCATTTCCTACACTGGTAGTTAGAGTGAAATGTTTCTCACTCTCCTATTCTTTTGTGTATTATTTTGGTATATTTTATGCAGGTGAATTTAATTAATATTTATTGTTGATCATATGTATGTTTACACTAAGTTGTTATATATGTGTGGTTACCTAGGCATTTCCTACACTGGTAGTTAGAGTGAAATGTTTCTCACTCTCCTATTCTTTTGTGTATTATTTTGGTATATTTTATGCAGGTGAATTTAATTAATATTTATTGTTGATCATATGTATGTTTACACTAAGTTGTTATATATGTGTGGTTACCTAGGCATTTCCTACACTGGTAGTTAGAGTGAAATGTTTCTCACTCTCCTATTCTTTTGTGTATTATTTTGGTATATTTTATGCAGGTGAATTTAATTAATATTTATTGTTGATCATATGTATGTTTACACTAAGTTGTTATATATGTGTGGTTACCTAGGCATTTCCTACACTGGTAGTTAGAGTGAAATGTTTCTCACTCTCCTATTCTTTTGTGTATTATTTTGGTATATTTTATGCAGGTGAATTTAATTAATATTTATTGTTGATCATATGTATGTTTACACTAAGTTGTTATATATGTGTGGTTACCTAGGCATTTCCTACACTGGTAGTTAGAGTGAAATGTTTCTCACTCTCCTATTCTTTTGTGTATTATTTTGGTATATTTTATGCAGGTGAATTTAATTAATATTTATTGTTGATCATATGTATGTTTACACTAAGTTGTTATATATGTGTGGTTACCTAGGCATTTCCTACACTGGTAGTTAGAGTGAAATGTTTCTCACTCTCCTATTCTTTTGTGTATTATTTTGGTATATTTTATGCAGGTGAATTTAATTAATATTTATTGTTGATCATATGTATGTTTACACTAAGTTGTTATATATGTGTGGTTACCTAGGCATTTCCTACACTGGTAGTTAGAGTGAAATGTTTCTCACTCTCCTATTCTTTTGTGTATTATTTTGGTATATTTTATGCAGGTGAATTTAATTAATATTTATTGTTGATCATATGTATGTTTACACTAAGTTGTTATATATGTGTGGTTACCTAGGCATTTCCTACACTGGTAGTTAGAGTGAAATGTTTCTCACTCTCCTATTCTTTTGTGTATTATTTTGGTATATTTTATGCAGGTGAATTTAATTAATATTTATTGTTGATCATATGTATGTTTACACTAAGTTGTTATATATGTGTGGTTACCTAGGCATTTCCTACACTGGTAGTTAGAGTGAAATGTTTCTCACTCTCCTATTCTTTTGTGTATTATTTTGGTATATTTTATGCAGGTGAATTTAATTAATATTTATTGTTGATCATATGTATGTTTACACTAAGTTGTTATATATGTGTGGTTACCTAGGCATTTCCTACACTGGTAGTTAGAGTGAAATGTTTCTCACTCTCCTATTCTTTTGTGTATTATTTTGGTATATTTTATGCAGGTGAATTTAATTAATATTTATTGTTGATCATATGTATGTTTACACTAAGTTGTTATATATGTGTGGTTACCTAGGCATTTCCTACACTGGTAGTTAGAGTGAAATGTTTCTCACTCTCCTATTCTTTTGTGTATTATTTTGGTATATTTTATGCAGGTGAATTTAATTAATATTTATTGTTGATCATATGTATGTTTACACTAAGTTGTTATATATGTGTGGTTACCTAGGCATTTCCTACACTGGTAGTTAGAGTGAAATGTTTCTCACTCTCCTATTCTTTTGTGTATTATTTTGGTATATTTTATGCAGGTGAATTTAATTAATATTTATTGTTGATCATATGTATGTTTACACTAAGTTGTTATATATGTGTGGTTACCTAGGCATTTCCTACACTGGTAGTTAGAGTGAAATGTTTCTCACTCTCCTATTCTTTTGTGTATTATTTTGGTATATTTTATGCAGGTGAATTTAATTAATATTTATTGTTGATCATATGTATGTTTACACTAAGTTGTTATATATGTGTGGTTACCTAGGCATTTCCTACACTGGTAGTTAGAGTGAAATGTTTCTCACTCTCCTATTCTTTTGTGTATTATTTTGGTATATTTTATGCAGGTGAATTTAATTAATATTTATTGTTGATCATATGTATGTTTACACTAAGTTGTTATATATGTGTGGTTACCTAGGCATTTCCTACACTGGTAGTTAGAGTGAAATGTTTCTCACTCTCCTATTCTTTTGTGTATTATTTTGGTATATTTTATGCAGGTGAATTTAATTAATATTTATTGTTGATCATATGTATGTTTACACTAAGTTGTTATATATGTGTGGTTACCTAGGCATTTCCTACACTGGTAGTTAGAGTGAAATGTTTCTCACTCTCCTATTCTTTTGTGTATTATTTTGGTATATTTTATGCAGGTGAATTTAATTAATATTTATTGTTGATCATATGTATGTTTACACTAAGTTGTTATATATGTGTGGTTACCTAGGCATTTCCTACACTGGTAGTTAGAGTGAAATGTTTCTCACTCTCCTATTCTTTTGCCATCCCTACTCCCGCTCAGGGACAAAATGCCATAAGGCGGAACGCCCATCTTCAACTGATAAAAATGAAGAAAGACGCGAAGAGACACCTCTATACCTAGAACTGTACACAGGACCTGAAAAGCCCTCAAAAAACCCCAACTATTGGGATGCAACTGGCAAGGAGCCGCGTTGATGAAATTCAAAAAATCGCACTCAAACTGGGTAAAAGGAAGACAGACACCCAAATCCCTAAAAAAGCATTGATATACATAGAAATGGGGGGGATCAGTAGACCTCCCCATGTACACGCCCTCATCAGCCTGACAGGGCTCAAGCCGAATCATGTGAAAAATGGAGGAATCGCAAACCCTATGCGCTCTCCGAAACACATTCACTTCGAAGAAAGAAACAAATATTCCCTTTTGTTGTAACCCATATACACTAACATATGTATTGTTAATTACATGTTTTCTCTTTTATTTATTTATTTATTTATTATTCTGAAGCTTCTTTTATAGTCTATTTAATATTTGTTTTCTTCACCTGTACCCAAGTCCTAAGGGCTTAATAACTCATTTTTCTCATCTAGGTTGCTTCTCAACCTGCAATGGAGTGCCTACCCCTAGTAATGGAACCGGAATCTGGATTTTATTCAGATCCTGTTGTTGTGCTTGACTTCCAGTCTTTATATCCATCCATGATAATTGCATACAATCTTTGCTTTTGCACTTGTCTTGGTAAAGTTGTGGCACAAAAGGCCAACACACTAGGGGTTAGTTCATTCTCACCAGAGCAGCATGTTCTGCAGGATTTAAAGGATCAAATCTTGCTCACTCCGAATGGTGTTATGTTTGTACCTTCCAAGGTGATTCAGTCAATCTTTTTTCTTTTCCTATTCTCTAACTTCTTTTATATTTTGAAGTTCTTGACTTAATATTAATGAACCTGAATGAATGCTATAGATTTGCCAAAGCTTTAAATTGTTGTAAATTGTGGGGCAAGTTTCTCATTAGCTGATCATTGTGATTCAGTCAATCTTTGATTTTTCTGTTGAGCAGCCTCAAATTTTGACCCACTGTCTTCCATCTCCTCTTTTTCATTGTACCCACACACAGATGAAGGATTCTTGAACTTAAAATTAATGGAGCTGAATGAATGACATATATTTGCAGAACGTTAGATTGCTGAAATTATGGGGCTAGTTTCTGTTAACTGGTTACTATCCTAATCCCAATGACCATAGACACAACACTGTTTCATCAAGATTAGTGCAAGTTGTTATTTTTCTTTTTCTGTTCGGCAAACTGTTATGTCAACCTTTTTCCTATAAATCAATCAGCTTTTATATATTTTATTTGTATCATTTGGGTGCAGTAAATATTTCATGTATTGTTGCAAGTGACTCCTGTGGAAAGGATAAAATAACTTTAATCTGTGTTGTACTGTCATACAGGTTCGAAGAGGTGTACTTCCGCGCTTATTGGAAGAAATCTTAACAACTAGAATAATGGTAAAACAAGCAATAAAAAAGTTGGCACCTTCAGAGCAAGTTCTTCAGCGGGTATGGATGTGAATTGGAATTGCATGTCTTCTAGTTGCACCCAGTATATTTGCTTAACATTACTAGGATAATAGTACAGTTGAAGACCATGTACATGAGTATATAATGTTTAGAATTTATGTTCTTTTGTTCTATTTTGTAATATTTATTGCTCAGATTCTACAAAAAAAAGAATTAAATTTATTCTTTTTAGTCATGAGGATTTTCTGAAAACTCCATATTTATAAAAAAAATAAAAACAGAAATTTTATGAAAAATTTCCAATAAATGCATACTAATATTTTTACCTTCACCATTTATGGTTTTTGTGAATTTAATTATACTTGTGCGTTATTTAGGATATGATTCTTTTATAGGCATAATTTAAATAGAATTTACCAAGTAGTACAATTTTCTTTTCAGATATTTAATGCAAGACAGCTTGCTTTGAAGCTCATAGCGAACGTAACATATGGTTACACTGCTGCTGGATTTAGTGGTCGCATGCCCTGTGCAGAACTTGCTGACAGTATTGTTCAGTGTGGCCGTAGTACACTGGAAAAAGCTATATCATTTGTAAATCTACACGAAAAGTGGAATGCTAAAGTTATTTATGGAGATACTGATAGGTAACACTATACTATATCTCTAATTAGAGTAAGTTAGTTTGATGTCTCCTGTGATTTGCCTAAAGCATACTCAGCTTACTTATTTCCAGAGTACACTGAACAAAAGGATGCCTAGCTCCTAAAGGGTTATGTATCAGGAAACAGTTTGACCCGGAGTTTTTTTTTTTTT